GTCTCAACTACATAGTGAGACCCTGTCTCAAAAAAAAAACAACACTCATTACAGAGTTGGTGTACAAAATATATAGGGATTCCTACTACTCAATAGCAAAACACACACACACACTGACTTGATTTTAGAACAGGTTTTTTGGTTTGTGTTTGTTTATTTTTGGTACAAATTTTGGGATCAAATTCAGGAACTTGTGCTTGCAAGGCAAGCTGGAACAGTTTTCTTTTTTAACTTAAGTGGGTGTATCTCTGAAGAAGATACACAAAGAGCCAACTGGTATATGGAAAAATATCTAACATTACTAATTATCAAGGATATGCAAATAAAAATGCAATGAGTTGTAACTTCAGACATGTTAAGTTGGCCATTTTATAAAAAACAGAAATAACAAGTGTTAGAGGGAATGTGGAGAAACCACATTCCCTCTGAGCAGTGTTGATGGGAATGTAAAATCATGTAGCCACAGTGGAAAACTGTCAGGAGGCTTCTCGGAATATTAAAAATACGGCCGGGGATTTAGCTCAGTGCCACCTGCCTTGCAAGTGCAAGGACCCAAGTTCGATCCCTGGTACCAATATACATAAAATAGTATTACCAAATAACCCAGCAATTCCACTTCTGGGTATTCATGGGGTGCACACCTATAATCCCAGGGCTCAGGAGGCTGAGACTCGAGTTCAAGATAAGCCTGGGCTACATAGTGAGACTGTCTCAAAACCTCCCCAAAAAATGAAGATAAAAGCAACCAACTTGAGCACCAACAAATAGATAAAGAAATGTGATGTATATGTATGGCATAGCTGTTTGGGCTGAGATAAAAATGTCTCCCAAAGCCTCATGTGTCTGAAAGGTGACAGGATCGCGACAGCACTGTATCCATCTGTGAGCTCCTCCTCTAAAGAGCCCAACAGCAGAATGCGCTATGAGGAGGGGCATGGTTGGAGGTGGTCACTGGGAGGGAGCGAGCAGGAAAAGCGCGCTCTTGGCTGGCCTCCTCCTCCTCTCTCTCCTCCTGGCCGCCATGGGTTGAGCAGCTTTTCCTCCTCCAGGCCCCTCCGCCATCCTGTGTCTGCCTTGGAGCCAGCAGACCATGGACAAAAGCCGTGAGCCAAAATGAGGCTCCCTTAGGGGATGGGGGCTGGAGATTCTGTCCAGTGACAAGAAGGTGACTAAGACAGTGGTGTGTCGTTAGGACTTTAACAAGATGACTCTTTCATTTGCTACAACAAGGACAAACTCTGAGGGCACTGTGCCAAGGAAAACAAGTCAGTCGTGCAAAACAACAACTGCATGAACCCTCTCACACAAAGATCTACCAGAGTCAAAGTCACAGAAGTAGAAGGGACAGTGATGATTTTGAGGCTGCTCAGTGGGAGGGTCACAGCCATGCAAGGCGAAACACTCCAGAGATTTGCTCACACAACAGTGTGGTACAGCTTCCAGCACTGTGCTACACACGCACGGTGTTTACTGAGCGCAGACCCCTGTGACACATTCTACCGCAGTTCTTAAAAGGAGAAAACATGAGAAGACTGTCCACATAGTAGACAAAAAGTGGTACTAAACATATGAAAAGATGTTTGACCTCACTCACTATTAGAAAAATGCAGAGCCAGGGATTTAGCTCAGAGGTTCCGCCACCTGCCTCCCTGCCTCGCAAGTACAAGGACCCGAGTTCAATATGCAAAAAAAAAAAAAAATGCATATCAAGTACACTGAGATACCATTCCCCACCTGAAAAGTAAGAAACTGGCAGGGAGTAAAACTATAATAACACCATCTATCGGCAAAACCGTGAGGAAACAGGCTCATTTGTCATGAATGGAAAAGAAGCAGGGGATTCCAGTTTGGCACAACTAACCCTTACCTTTGGAATAGATCTGTGCCCACATCTACCTGTGAGCCCAAATCACCCCTCTCGGATTGAGCATGAAGACACACCTGCAGCCACAGGGAAGTTTGTGTACTCATGGTCACTTCTGAAGCACAGCTTGTCATTGCAAAATATCGGAAACAACTTAAATCTACATGCATGGACGAGGTAAATCGCCATGGCATAAAATAAAGTACTAAGAAGCATTCTTTGAATTCACCTGGAATGATTTGCAGAATGTGCTCTGAAGGGGGAAAGGCAGAGCTAGTTTTTAGAGAGAGAACTGCAGGACAGATGAACCAGACGTGCCCGGGACTGGTAACCCCAGGGTTCTGAGTGGGATGGAGGAGATGGAGGGAAGAGGGCAAGGGGGAGAGTTCTGAGGTGCCTGCGAAGCTCGGACATTTAAACCATCCCCATACTTTATGTGCCAGAAACAAAGACAGGAAAAAGGGAGCCCCACGTGGAGTGCACACGAAACAAAGTCAAGGGTACAGCACGACCACAGGGGTGGATGATGACTGGGAGGGGCGGGACGCACCCAAGTAACTCTGGGAAACAGTTTCTTAGCTGAGAGACAGAACCCTACACCGACAGGGGACTCCAGTTCCTAGATTTGTTTTTCATGAAGGGGAGGATGAGCAATTCTGAAACTAGGTTTTGTGTGTTCCAGCATAAGAGAACTTACAGTGAATGGAGGCAGCCATGCTTCCCGCTGCGGAAGGAAGCAATGAAAATACATCAAAAGAACACAGGAGCCGGGCTGAACAGTCTCCCAGCAGCCAGGTCTCAGCCATCAGTGTTCAGTGCTGGTAAGTGTGTGAATATACCACACAGATAAAATAAGAATTCGTGTGTCCATATGATACAGTAATTAGTTGAACAAATAAATTAATTGTAAGAAGGAAAATTTCTTCCTTTCAATACAGTTCCAACTCAAAAAATGTGGAGGGGATGATGGAAATCGAAAATTTCTATTTGGCAAACACCACAGCAAAAAAAATTTCAGCCAAGTATCATCAGTGGATGCAAAACTCGGTAGGTAAAAGTATATTTTTGTGGCTCTTAAAATACCTTTCCACGTGATAATCACTGCATGCAAAGAGGAACAGCAAAACTTTACAGGGAGGACCTGGTGAGCCCCATCTACCCCAGCGAGCGCCCGGAGTGGCACCAACAGTGCCAACAGTGGGCAAACCAACAGCAGAAGGCACAGCCCATCCCCTGTGGTGTTCTTGAAAAAGCGGACAGCCTGGATTTAAGCCAAGTCAAAGGACAGTCTCAAAACAGCTGGCTGGTATTCTTCACAAGCAGCAACAGAGTAAAAAGACAGGCTAAGGTACTGCTTAACGAGCTCAAGGGAACATGGCGGGGGAAGGGAATGTGACTCTGGACTGACTCCTCACCCCAGACACAAAGAGCACTGGCAGAACCGTTGGCAGATTGTAAGACAGCAGTACAGTGAACCCTTGACTTACGAACTCCATCTGCTCCCGAGGGCTACTTGTAACTAAGTCAGTACAGCTGAGATCTGGATGTTTACCTGGGTTCACACTATAGATAACAAGATACAGATGAATCCTCCATTAACCTCATTAACCCAAGTTGTTCGAACGTTGGGCTGGTTGTAACTTGAGGGTCCACTGTGTTCTTACCTCTGCTAATTTCCAGTTTTGATCATTTTACTGTGATTATGTAAATCACAACCAGGTAAAGGCATGTAAGAAATCCTTGTGGTATTTATAAAATTTTGTAAGTCTGAAAGTATTCAAACTTTAAATATTTTTAAGTTAAAATCTTTGTAAATAGCCAACATCTGGCTTTACCACACCTAAAGGCCTTCACTCATTCTGAGGGTACAGAGGCGTTAAAGGGGTGTTGACAGGTGGTCGTTGAGGGGCTTTATATAAAGATAGCAGCTCCTATGTTGTGCAGACCCCAGACTGCCACGCAAGAGCGCAGGCTGGTAGCAGGGCCTCCAGGAAGCCACGCCAGGAGACGGGACTGCATTCCACGAAGGAATGGAAATAGCTGGACCAGAAAATGGCACCTGCCTGGGAAATCCATCGTCAGAGGTGGCCAGGCAGCAACTGAGAGTCCCTGCTCTCCTTGGAAGCAAAAAGACTTGCTTGTTTGGTCTCTGTGGTGGGACTGAGGCCTAGAATGCTGGGGACAGATGCAGGACCCACAAAAAGAAGGATCAGTAGTGATGCTGTCCAGAGAACTTCTGCTGGAGGGGGGACCCCAAAAGAGAAAGAGGCTAGAAGAGGTGGGATGCCAGAGGTTTCATGGGAGAGAAGCGATAGCTCAGCAAGGGACAGAGGCTGCTTCTTAAAGCCCGGAGGAACATAGCGAGGGAGTTTGGGGGAAATTTTAAGGACAGCTGGCAAGAGAGGCAGGCTGCTCTCAACACATAGCCTCAGAGCCTCCTGCCTGCGTCCTTCTCCCTGCACCCAACCTTAGAGATGCTGGCCCCACCCATGCCCTAGAGGCAAGCAGCCCCACCTGGGCCTGGGGAGGTGTTAGAACTCTTAACTCTCACTTGGTTAGCAATGGACTTTGTGCACTAATTTAAGTGACTCCTGACTTCCTTCTGAATAAACAAACAGCATGAGGTCTGGAAGGATCTCACCTGGGCCAGCAGGGAAACCCATCCCCCTAAATAAACTCCAGAGAGAGTGAGATACAAAACACAGTCTTGATGGAATCCCACGATCAGATCTACTCCATGTCCCACCACCCTGTACGATTTGGTTCGTCCCCCTCTCACACCAAGCACCTGGTCACACCTGCCGCACCCACCCCTACAGGTACAGGTATAGCAGAAACACTTGCCACTGGTAAAGCTCAAACTCGTGGAATCTGTGTGTTGACCGACCTCAGAAAAGCAATCCTTCTTCCTGTCCAGCATTAGCTGGGGAGGGGTTCCCAAAGACAGAGAAAGACAGCAGTGACCCCGAAGGTGCTTAGAGAAGTGAGGAGTGTGGGTGGACAGGGTGCACTCAGGAGGAAGCGGGAGGGAGAGGGAGCTTCCAGGCTGGCTGCAGGCTTCTGCGTTAGCTCTCCGCAGAGCCAGGATGATCACTGTTCCTCAAACACAGGCCAGGCAGGGTAACAGAGGACTCACAGGGACAGGTCCAGCGGCAGCCGCAGATCTCTTCCACCCGAATAGGGGACTGGCTGTTGGGGCATGAAGGCCTGGGCACCTGGTCGCAGTTGACCCGGTGACTCTGCAGTAGGGTCCGGCCATCCGGCAGGCAGGTCACTGTGTGGCACTGATCTGGCAAAGTCCAGACGTCCCCAGGCTGCAGAGGGAATGCAGGTTAGGTCAGGGAACGGGATGAGGCATTCCAGGCTGAGTTCATCCATGCCCCAGCCACAGGCCTGGAGAGTAGGACTGGACACCAGGGGCTATGCCCGAGACTGGAGCCGAATCGGGGATGTAGAGGTGGGCTTCCCAGAGCAGATGAGTTAGCAGGAGCACAGGACAGAGACAAAAGAGGGACCAAGACCAGAGGAGGAAAGATTACTCCTAAAGAAGGGACATCAAACACATTTCTCATGTATTCCAAAGTAATCAGAGAGCAACTCACCCTCTTCTCATTCCCATCCTCATCCACGCAAACTCTAGCAAACCCTGAAAGAGACACAGTAGGACCTCATACCCTCCCATCACTCAGGCATTCCAGGCCGTTCACAATTTCTGCTCGGGCTGCCTAGTCTCGTCCCTGAGGGCACCTCAACCCTGAAAAGAACCCAAGTGGGTTTCACAGTGGAGACAAGGGGACCTAAGGCAAAGAGGTCAACAGTACAATTCCTCAGACACAACCTGCGGTGACTGTGACAATAATTCTGATGGTAGCAATACCATGTTCTTGCAGGGATGCATTGTAACAATCCTAGTCGTTAGCTCCTGTCACACACAGGCACTTTCAAGAAGGAGGATGTATGAAGCAAGACCCTGAGAACTGGAAGTGGATCCAGCTCAAGGTTATGCCAGGATAGTGACCACTAGGAAGGAAATGCAGTAATGCCGAAGGAGGCTTTAATGTATGGCTAATTATGCTAAGAATATAAGGGGTGATGGAAAAATATGGTAAAGGTTTTAAATTTACATTGCCATTCATGCTCCTCAAAGACTCCCCTTCGCTTTGAAAACACTCATCTTTTCACTCTTGCCCGTTTCCGGGGCATCTGGGGTGCTTTTTTCACGTGTTTAGTCGCGCTGTCCTGGCTGCCTCGGTGTCCTGAATCCCTTCAGAGCGTTTGCCTTCCACGGTCATTTTGGCTCTGGGGAGGAGATGCTTGTTGAATGGACCCCTGTCTGGTGAACAGGTGGATGAGGACACAGCGTACGTGTTCAGGGCCCTGCTTGCTGCTGGGTGGCGCAAGGAAGCAGCGTCCACCATGCTTTTCCTCACAGCTCATTAAGACGCTCACCAAAGACGACTTCCAGGACTGCTTCGGAACATGGCAAAGCGACAGCGTGAGGGTGTTTGATGGGGGGTATATGTGAGGGAGGACTAATAGCAATGTGTCTGTTGCTGTAATCAATTTTTTAATTTAAATGTTTGCCATAGATTTTGATCACCCCTTATGTATACAAATAGGTCCAAAAAAATCATGTGTTTTTTTTTACTTCTAATCTAAAATCAAATTAACCTATGGCCCTGTGATGTGCGATCCTCTAGTCCTAATTCTGAAGCCCTCTGTGGTCCTCTCGAGAGAGAGAATACGGGACTGTGCCCTGTGGGGCTGGGGTTGCCTTCTACGTCTTCTGCCTTTCATCCTCTCTGGGGAAGCAGACAGTTGGAGAGGAAGAAGGGTTGTGAGCAGACACTTCCTGGTAGATCTGGAGGTTTGCACTATGTGTCCCATGGGCAGAAACCCAAAGGCCCTGATCTCCATAATAATCTCCACTCAAGGTTCAATGTTGGGCATGAACAGCCTGGAATCTCTAGCAAGGAATTTTTGTTTATGATTTTAGGTTTTGCTTGGGCTTAATGGATTTTTGAGGGGGTACAGGATGTTAGAAGACTTACCAAAGCACAGCTTTTGGAAGAGGGAACTGCCAGCACTGACCATGGCGGGGAGCTGTTCTGCGCTGCGGAGCTGCACCAAACTGGAGCTGGCCTCTGGGCCCGCCAAGATCCTCAGCTGCCCCAGGTCATACCGGTCCCCAACTCCAATGGGGATCACTGTCACTCCTGGGGACCACAAAGGAAAGGACTGTGCTCAAGTGGGCATGCCGTGGGCTGGTCTGACACTATGTCCGGCACCGTATGGGGCCGCCTGTGTCCCAGCCTGGCACACAGACCAAGCCTAGAAGGCACACACTCGTTCAGCCAACAAACATTAACGAGCTCATACTGTTCCAAGACATGGGGCAGAGCAGTGAACCAAGCAGGAAAAGTCCCTGTGCCCTGTCCTCAAAAAGCTCACACAGGGGAGAGAAAGACAACAGACGTGCAAAAGTCAGTAAGTATTTGAGACATGGGTAAGTGTTTGGGGAAAACAAAAAGGGATACCAAGAACTGGATTTCCCAGGGCTAGGGAGGGGTTATTGTTTCATGTCCGGTGGGTAGAGCCGGGTACAGTGAAGAGACGGCATTTGATACAGACATGAAATGAGAACAGAAGAAGCCAAGAGGCCGTCAGAGAAGCATCATCCCAGGCAGAGAGGATGGTGTGAGGACCAGGGCCAGGCACACGCACCAAGCGGCTGGAGCTGGGCGAGCCAGGCACCACCACAGAGGGGGCATGGGGTGCACACAGCCTTGTAGGCCATGGTAAGGACTTATTGTACCCTCTGAAGGAGAGGAAAAGCCAGCCACGCCTGGCACAGAGCAGGACAGGGCTGACTTGGATTGTGAAGGGCGCTCTGGCTGCTACATGACAATGAACTGCAAGTGATAGGAGTGGAAGCCAAGGCTCACGTCAGACAGCCTCCGTCATCCAGGGGTGGGTGGCGGGGCTAGGATGGGAGTGACAGTGGTGGTGGGGTACAGGGCGGGGTTATCACTGGCTAGCATGGGTCCTGGTGTCAGTGATGATGGAAATGTAAAACTGAGGCAGCAGCATGAATTGATCGCTCAAAGTTTCATTTGAATTTTTATTATGGAAAGAGTCAAAGCCGGCTATGCCATCGGCACCCCCAAGAAAGAGAAGTAGGCTGCACCACACAGGGCCCCCAACAAGGACACATTTCATTTTGCAGGGCCTCAACAGCATATCATTAATCATTTGTGGATCTTTCATAAAGAGCAGGGATCTCTGGGCAGCTTGGAGTTAGCTACTGCACAGGCTTTTGCACATAACCCAAAATGGGCTTTGAAATGAGCTTCGTCCCTCCTCTGGGTAGAGATTTACTCTGGAAATGCATGGTAACGAAGGTGAGGGTCATTTCCTGGTCAGCTCTGTTGCCACCTTGGCTTGTACCCTTTTCACCATTCCCATCCACGCCACCTTCTTATCTCGAGGACTGGAGCAGCTGGCTCATTTTATCGATAGCCTGATTTACTCGCCCTCCTGGCACCAGAAGTTGCCACCGCCTTCTCGTTCCCCTTCAACTGTGACATCAAAGTCATGCCAAGCCCCTCCTGTCTCACAAGGACACCACTCTAAAAAGGGAAAGTGTGGAGGTGTGATCACCTGGGACACAGAGTGCAGACACATATTTCTTACTGTTTGGTCTCTCAACAGTACAAAGGTTTGACAACTACCTGGTGCTTGAAACCAGACTGTGTGTGAGCACATTTTAAATTGGCCTGGACCCCACCACCTGCCCCTCTAGTACTCAAGAGGATTCGGGACTGTGCACTGCACACTTACGGTTGGATCTGGCGGCCTGAGCTGCCGCGTCCACCGAGTCCACAGAGACATCTGTGACCAGCATGACCACCGCCTTGGAGGCCGCAGACCTGGCCCCATGGACTTGGGAGGTGACGTATCGCACAGCAAAGGCCAATGCCTTCCCTAAGAGAGGAGAGCACACCACACCAGTACTGAGCACAGGAGCAGGTGATGCAGCCCATTGGTCCATCCCACGGCAGATCCTTAGGTCGTTCAAAAGCTGAATGATTTGGAGACTCAGAGGAACCCAGTGGGATCCAGAGGAGACCAGAAAGAGCCACTGGCCCCTTACTTCACAGGAGAGGAAGCTCCAGCAAAGGATCAAGTGACCGGCAAGGACGTAAGCCATTTGTGGCAAGAATGGGGATTGGAACGCAGGTCCCACACCTGGCCCAAGGCGCCCCGGTTACCTATCCAGCTGGGGCCTCCCTCCTGCCTCATGAGTTCCACGAGACTCAGTAAATGTGCCTTCTGCTGGGCTACGTCCCATGGCACGTCAATGGTGGTGATACTCCCATACTGGAGCACGGACACCTGCATGAGATGAGGTCCTAACAGGAAGGAGAAAGGAGAAGTCACTCGGGGCCAAGTGGACCCCAAGAGCCCCTTCCTTCCCCGGCTGCTCCAGGGGCCCTGCTCACCGATGTTAGCCTCTGAAATGAAAGCCTTGGCAAAACTCTTCATGTCCTCGAAGTGAGAGGCTGGATCGCTGGAGGAGCCATCCAGGAGGAGGACTACATCCACGGGCTGGCTGCAGTCTGGGAAGAGGACCAGGGCGGTGAGCACACAGGTGCTGCAAGCAGCTGGCCACCGCCCGGGCGGCTGGACACCAGGTTCAGTAGGTTCTCAAGGGCACCCCTGACCATATGGCTCCACAAGGCGAAGAGGCTTTTGTTACCAAGATAGTACTGGGCCAGGGATTCAGCTCAGTGGTTCCACTGCCTGCTTCACAAGCACAAGGTCCCAAGTTCAATCCCGGACACCAAAAAAAAAAAAAAAAATACAGGGCCAGGGAGGAGGGAAGGACAGATGTTTCTGGATGGCCAGCTTTGGAGGCATTAGAAAAATCCACCCAAAAAATTAAATGCCTACAAATAAAAGCAGAAGACCGCTACTCCTCAGTAACAATTGCTGCCCTTCTAAAAGTGGGTGAAACACTGGAGCAGTAAAATAGGAAGATGTCAAAAAGAAATGGAACAGCAGCAGCACCTCCCTCGTTTGCTCTCAGGTATTACAGGGTGGTAAAGGTACCACGAGCAACTCCAGCTGTAAATGTTCAGTGCCCGTTTTAATGTTTGGCCACAGTTATGATCTCAGAGAGGAAACAAGCTCTGGCCTGAACAAATTCTGACTCTGAGCAGGTGATGCTAATACTATATCATAGGATTTAAATAAAATCTATGGCTTTGATTAAAAACTAAAAAAAATAAAAATAAAGATACTGGTTAAGTATAAGGGTCAAGAGACACTAAAAGGAACAAGTTATTCTGGGGTGGTCCTGAATATGCCACATAAGAATGCTCAAGGACTAGGAACTGACTGGACGCCACATTGGTCAAGAAGGCAGTGTGAACGGCAGGAAAGGTAGCAAACTGTTTTTTGGGAGTGTGCCGAATGCTGGAGTGGCATTACACCCTTTGCTTAATACTGTCATGAGCCGCATCTTACAGATAAGGAGACTGACGAACAAAGAAGTTAAGGACTTGCCCCAAATTATCCAGTTAGCAAGTGGCAAATGAAAGCAATCTGCCTCCCGAACCTAGGTCACCTGACTTCCTGACCCCGACCCAAAGACCGTCAGCTACGTGCATAAGTCCACCCACTCTATGTGGCCAAGAGGGAGCTGACAGTCACCAAAATCACTTTCACAGCAGAAAGGAGGGCTGGTGGTGTGAGCATTCGTCCTGACACATGAATTCCCTGGACTAAGAAACACCCAGCGGGTTAGGGGCACGCCCCGGGGGTTCTGGGTGGACCATGGAGGCGTGACCTTGTGTGCTGCCCCGCCCTCTCCGGAACTCTTCCCGGCCCTGCTTCCCGGCCAACACTAACCAAGCAACTTTGCCCTGCGATACCCTTCCACCGTGAGGTTTCTGGGCCTATTGACCATGGACTGAGTCTCCCCAAACTGTGAGCCAAATGTAACCTTTCCCCGTTAAGCTGCGGGTGTTGGGTGCTGCACCTGCATTGTCACAGCAACAGGGAAGCTCACTATCACCTTCAGGGATGGGGATGGGTGATAACGGAAGTGTAGTGCTTTTCACTGCTTGGTATGGTTTAGATGTTGACAGTAGGGTTGTGTTACCTCTGAACTTGCAAGTATACATAAGAGACCCACCCCAAAAAAAGGGTCACAACACAGCCCCGCCTGGGAGGTAAGGAAACTGAGGCAGTGGGCAGAGCAGGGGCTGGGATTAGAACCCAGGGTCACATCCTGGCCAGAAGCAGGCAGCACTGGGGCTGCCCGAGACCTCCCTCTGCACAGGGCCTTCCTACCTAGGGCAGGATGGAGGGTGGGGAGCGGCACTGCATCTCCGGAGCAGCACCTGTGCAGCACCAGGTCAGGAGCCTCTCGGGGGAGCGTCTCAAAGTCCTGGACAAAGATGGGGCTGCCGGGCCAGCTGACCCACTGCAGCTCCTGCGCATTGGCACCTGGGCCCACTCCAATAGGCACCACCTGGATGTCCCCGGGCAACCGCTTGATCTCATCAGAGGCAGGACTTCCTGTGACCATGTAAACCAGGTTGGGCGCCTGCTCCCGGTCACCCTGGCTGGCGGAGAAGCTGTGCTGGGACGCGAACTGCAGGGCCCGACCAGTGTTGGTCTGGTTGCCACCCCGGAACTGGATCTCTCCCATGCGCTGCAGCACGTTTCCCTTGGACTGGGCCTCACGGAAGGTGTACTCCGCAGCCACCGTGTATGAATACTGCAGGACTGTGACGTGGATGCCGTCCTGGCCCACGTCCATACGCCGAATCACCTCTGCCACAAACTCCTTGCTCCTGTTGAAGTTGGCCTCCCCAACGCTGTCCGAGCCCTCCAGGACAAATACCACATCCAGAACCATGGACTTCCTCTTGGGTCCCGGGGACAAAACCTCCAGGAGACCTGGCCCCACGGTGACCTGCGCCACCTGGGTGTGCGGAGCCGGGCCAGGAGCCTCCACCGCGTGCTCACAGAGGTAGCTGATGATCTCGTCCCTCCGCTGCTGCAGCTCATCCACGCTGCTAAGCACGAAGGCCTTGTTCTCGGGGGCCTGCTTCTCGATGAGGCGGATCTGCTGGAGGTTGACATGCGGCCCGATGCCCACGGGCACCACGATGACCTTTTTCTTTTTCAGGCCCTGAACGTAGCGGACCAAATTCCGGGTCATCTGTCTGGGCTCTGAGCTGGCAGTCAGGAGCAGCACAACACGGGAGGCTTCAGGGCGCTCGATTTTGCCAAAGATCTGGAAGAGCGTGTACTTCAGCACCTCGCTGGTGGAGGCCACCTGGCTGCCTGCGTACTTCACCTGGCTGGTGATGCGACGCAGCTCTGACGGCCGCTTCCGGGCCCCGAGCTCGAGGTAAGCATGGGAGCCGTCGTGGTACTCCACCACGGCCACCCGGATCCGCTTCTGCGAGATGTGCAGCCGCTCCATCATGCTCACCACGAAGGCCTTCAGTGCCTCAAACTCCACCTCCGACAGCCTGGAGGAGCCATCCAGCAGGAAGACCAAGTCCAGCAGCTTGCTGCAGTAGAAGTCATGCAGGGGCGGCTCCGGGGTGTCCTCCACGTATGGGGTGGTAGCACTCACTGGGGCCTCTGTCGGGGGCACTGCCAGGCCTCCGGGCTCCTGGCAGGCTTCGCAGGTAAGGTTGGCACCGTCACAGTGACTGGCAGAGGGAGAAGAAACCAACATGCTGAGGAAGAAGCTCTGAGTCCTTCCCCACCCACCACGGATGTGTTCCCTTGGAACTGCCCGGCAGCCGCACGGAACATCCCCACAGGAGCGAGATGTCACTTTTAGCACACACACACAGGTTCCCTCGATTCTGGAAGCCAAAGCTTTGACCCGTCTTAGGACCTGGAAAAAGAATCTTTGCTGTTTAGGCCATGCACGCAACCATTCAACTCTGATTCCTTTCCAGCCTACATCTCTAGCCACAGTAATACTCAACTAAAACCCAAACCTTCTTCCAAGTATCTCCAAGGACAAATACTGCTCTAAATACAGATGCTGATGGGGACTTGGAAATGTTCTCCTGTTGAAGACAAATGGTTAACAGTACTAATTATAACAGAATTTGGTAGGTTGGGCCTCAAGAAAGGAAACAAAAACTAGGGTAAAAACATTTTCAAACAATGAATAAAAATTCGAGGTCCTAGGTTTATTTAGCAGAAGAAAGTATTTAAGAGGAGTTGGCCGGGGCTGGCAGGAGGCCCAGGAGGGCAGCAGCTCAGCGTTCACTCCTCCCACAGGCAGGTGGCGAGGCCCACACACCCCGTCAGAGCCACAGCCTGGTTCAAAAACTGCTGCACTACAGGGAAGACCTGCAGCCTCTGGTCACTCCACCCTCTCCCCGGTGTCCTGGAGGTGGCAGCCAGGCCAGGCCATGGGGGAATGAAGCTGCCCTTCGGTGGGAAGCTGTGCCTGCTGCGATCTCCTCCTCTCTATGCCCTGCCTCCCAGCAGCCCGCCTGCAACACTCCGGGCCAAGCTGTGGCCTGGCCACTAGGCACCATCCCTGCCCGCTGCAGAGCTGGTATCCCAGCATGCACCGCGTAGCTGCCCGGCCCCAGTGCTGACAGGGTTCTAGCTCAGCGCTCCGCCAGCACTGACCTCACCCTCACTGGGGCTTTCATCCTCACATCTCGGTTTCGGCATCAGGAGGCCGGGCCGGCAGGTCCTCCTGGGAAGTTATTCCTACTTCCTCACGCTCCCCATGATTTACTGCCTCGGCCCTCGGTTAGCAGTGTGTGAATAGCATACTTTCTAGTTTCCTGCATTTGCTGGAAAACTTCCCCCCGGGCAGCTTTCACTCATGTTTGTACAGATGGTGGCGCAGGGTCTGTTTCTGGCCACAGCCCCTCCCGGGTGAGCTGCAGTTCTCAAGTTGAAGCTCTCCCAAGGCTTGATGGGTGTTGGACATATCAGCATTTGAATGACTGTTCCCCACTTACAGGTAAGACTTCAGAAAGCTCGGCACCTGCCCACCTCCCCTGAGGCCAGTTTCCAGCGAGAGCCCAGAGGGACAGCCGAGAACCCAGAGGGACAGCCGTGGGTCTTTTCTCCCAGTTACAGAAGATGTGCCCTGCAGCCTCAACTGTGGCCCCAAGATATCCCTGCTATTCCAGGGGATCAGAGGTTCCTTCTCACTTTCCTCCCTGACCCCCGCCTCCTTCCAGAAACTGACTTTATAGAGGTCCAATCTCAGACTAGACATGGCCTCCAGAAACAATCCAGGCCATAGGGAATGGGAATGCCAGTTCCCCTGACCCGGCTTAATGTGTTAATGTGAGCAGTAGAGCTCACAAAAAGCATTACATGCTGGAGCGGAGAGTGAAAGCCTACCCTGTCTTCCCACAAGAAAAGGTAAAAACTTTTTTTTAAATATTTCAATATTTTGGGAGGAAGCAGTCTAGTTTGCTCTCACAGAAAGAAAAGCAAAGTAGAAATGCGCTAAGCAGAAACTGAACCGATTAATTAACAAACTAAATACACCCAATGTGTCAGCTCGCCCCCCTGGGAGGTTTCGCCCCAGGCCTCTGAGCAGGCCTCAGGAATGTGGTAATACGCACAGCTTCACACCACCGGGGCCACTTACCAAGCCTGGCAGCGGGCAGGGTCCTCTGGGTTCAAGGTGACCTTCCTCCCGGGGGGTAGGCGCTGGCCGGCCACCTCACACACGGGGCAGTCGTGGGGCTTGACGCAGGTCTGCAGAAGCTCATCCAGGATCTTCCCTGCACAGCACACCTCTTATTAGGACAGAGCCACCCACCTGTCCTGCCACAGGGCCCCCTGTCCACGAAGCCAATTCTGTCACCTCACTATGATCCTTCACCCTGTCTCACCTCCCCCAAGCCTTAAGACAAATCACTCTTCCAAAGTGTGGATTCAACAACTTTCAAGTTTCATTGTTCAATATGACAGCCAATAACCAAACGTGGCCACTGACATTTAAATGAAGCAAGAAGCAACACAATGAAAACATCAGCTCTCCAGGCACACCCCACCCTGCACTCGTCAGAACAGTTTCCTACTGGGAAAGCGCTGCTCTGTGTGAGGAACCCATAGATAGGCACACAAAGGCACGGCACTGGGAACAATACGGTGTGGGTGGTTGTGTGTGTGCTGAGCATGCGCAAGAGCCTGGGCTGCACACACACACGCAAACACACACACACACAAGGCCATAGGAACCCAACTTGGCAAGACTTAGACCTGGCCCGGCTTTGGTGAAGGGACCCATGGAGGCCGAGGGCTGGGGGCAGGGAGGTCCTGGGCAGAGGCCAGGAGGGAGCAGTGGGGAGGGGCCCATGCCACGGGAGATGGACAGGCCTCACCTGGCGGGCAGTGTGCATGGCAGCCCTCCACACAGCGCAAGGGGCAGGCCAGGGGCTCGGGGTGCTGGCAGGTGACCGGACAGGCGGGCGCACAGCTGTTGTAGCGCCACTCACACTCGTTCCCACTGTCCCAGAGATTCCTCTCCTCACAGCTTTGGGCTGTGAAAACAGAACAAAGGGCTATGACTCCAAATCACCAGGCCACCGCAGGAGGAGGGGAGGGGGTAGGCGGAGATCTTGCTGGGGAGCTAAGGGCCACAGAGACACTGACTTCTGGATTTACTAAGCATCCAAGCTAGGAACCCAGTGGTCTAGGTTTGTTTTCTATATAAAAACAGTAAGCTGTGTGCACCTGAGAAAGCAAGGCTCCACAGAAATGCACAAATGGTCCCTTGTACTGGAGAACATGGCCATGTCTGAGACACACGCAGGCCTCCTTCTGCACCTCCTGAGCATTACCCCTTCCTGCTCCAGGAGCGAAGGCCCCATGGGCCGTGCTGAGCCAGGCTCCTCCTCAGCACAGTGTGAGCCCCTTCCCCGATGTGCGAGTCCTCTCTGCCTCTGGGAGCCCTCCACACGTTAGCACCTGCCCTCCGCACACCCACCCTGCACCCTCCGGCCTCAAAAGATGCAGGGGGTGGGGGCTGCCGAGGTCCCAGGCATCGGGACTCACGGCACAGCGTGGCTGTCCTCCAGCTCACTTCCCTGCCCTGCTGGGCACACGCATGGGCATAGGTGGCAACGGTGTCACAGAAGCAGGCACAGTCCCCAACAGACTCGCAGGAGCAGGTGTCATAGATGCAGGCATCCAGGTAGGGCTCGGGGTCCACCTGCAGAGGGGCCTTGGGTCAGTGCAGTCTTGGCCAGCAGCGAGAGCTGTGACCCTTAGTCTGGGCGAAGGTGTTCTGGCGGCCACAGAAGGGTGACGGCCTCCAGGGCAGGAGGCGTGGAAGCCGACAGTCCCCACAAACGGAAACAGGTAAAAGGGCAAGATTCCCACTTCTTATTAGGAGCACAGCCAGAAACACTGACCAAGGCAGGTTCCCAGGCCTTCGTGGGCCAGGACATGCCTGAGAACTTCAGAGGGATGCTCTGCTGTCCGCCTCCACCGAGCCGCGCACACAACCGCGTGTTAGGAGTTGCCACAAAAGCTGGTCACGCTCTTTCTCTGTCTCGGTACAGCGACACGAGGGGCCACCCGGACCCACTCAAGTTGCCTCACCGGGAGCTGCAGGGCCAGCATGCTGGGAGGGGGGACCCTGGTGCACTCCCCTAGCTCAGACCCAGGGCAGCACTGCTCGCACAAGCACGTTCTGTTCCCACCTCTCCTATCCCCAAACGTGCTGCACAGGATGGCTGATAGAAATCAATTCCCACAGCGAGCAGACACAGGCTCCAAGACCTCCAAAGGCCCCACTTCCCCGTTCCCTTCCCTGCCTCCTTCTCCCAACTCCAGTGCCACCAGGCCAGAGAATCTCACTGTCCCTGGGAATCCTAAAATCCACTGCAGTGAAGGCTGAAAAAGAGTTTCTCTGAAAAGTGAAGGGGCACTAATGGGACTGTTTGGTCATTTGTTCCCCGAGGAGGGATGATCGGGCATTCTTAGATCTGGAGACACAGCAATGACAGGACAAGGGGCTCTGACTCCAGTGTTGGAGACAAGGAAACGCACCAAACTCTAAGACCAAGGGCAAAGGAGAAGTGTGGGCCAATGCCACTTCCTGTGCAGGTGAATCTGCAGCCGCCGCCTCCCTAGAAGGTGTGGACTCTGCTTCCTGGACACAGAAAGGACGGCAGCAGCACGCGAGTAGAGACTGCCGCAGGACCCCAGAGTCGTCATGTGCACCTGAGAACCCCAGGCTACAGCAGCCCCCGCCGACCCTTCAGCCCGCCCTGCCTCCCCTCTCCTCTCACCAGCTTATTGCAGTCCCGGAAAATGTCGCTGGTGAGGATTCTGCAGGAGGAATCCACCATTGTCTGCTTCACGATGTTGTCGTGGCAAGTGGCAGGGGACATATCCAGCACCACCTGGGGACAGGGAGGGAAGCACAGCTACACCAACACAGACAGCAAAGTGAGGGACGCAGGAGGACACCTGAGACCCTGTTTCCACCACATGCAGTTCCTGCCACCTCCGGGGAATGGGGACATTGGGAAGCAGCCTCCCAGGCTCCATCCACAGAACCACACGCACCCTGCTGGTGTCCGCACACTGCGGGCTCACTTTCCAGGAGTTCCCGAAGTCCACGGCATTCTCCTCCACTTGGAGGCTGCTGCTGGTGAGGTCATTGTTCTGGATGCCATCAAAATTCCCACAGAGGCCGCACACTTGCTCCTGGATGGCACAGTGAGAGCGCGCACACACACACACACACACACACGATCACGCGGTGCTCGACACACACCAGGAGCCCATAAGGCATCACTGCATAAGTGACGGGGTCCTTTGCTTGTCAGCAGGATGGGTGGCCCAGCAAGCAGGGACTGTGCAGCCTCCCGGCCCGTACAGGCTAACGCTGTGAAGACAGCCCACTGAGCCATCACCATACTCAGCTGAGCCACTTGTCATGTACACGCCATGCAGGGAACCCACAAAGTCTCGACAAACCATCAGACCTGGGACAAATGCGATCCCCTCTCCCTGCAGGCTTACAAGTGTCTGTCAAAAGTGTTGGCCTTCAGCTCAGTGGTCAGGCAGCCCCTCTCAGCATGCTGTGCACAGTCAGTGCGCCTAAGAAAATCCAATGCCACCCAACCTACTGCTTCCTTCCTTTGTGAAGACTGCAAACCAGGCAAGGGCAGCCAAGACGGCTTGTGGGGGGCCCTTGCTCCAGCCCAGCCACGGCCAAGTGGACACCCCACCTCCACAGCTCACTGTGAGGGGACCACCTTGCCCCAAGAGCAGCCAGCACAGGTCCAAACAGGCCACAGACACAACGGCGCAAGAGGGGGCCGGACCTGGAATGTCTGCTTCAGCACCACGGAGACGCCCAGGCGTCGGTCCCAGACCACGGAGAGGGCTCTGCCCAGCAGCAGGATGACAAACCGGCCAGACTCTAGCACCTCAAGGTGTGTCTCATCCTTCATGGGCTTCTTCACGCTCACCTGGGGGAGACACAGCGGGGCATCAGGAAAGATCTGGATCCCCCCTCCCTCCACACCCACCCGTCTCCGGTGCACACACACACACACACACACACACACACGCACACACGCAAGGCAGTCTGCCCTCCCGGAGCCCTGCAAGTCCCCTGCCATGTACAGCCAGAGCTGCATCCTCTCGGCCTGACCACAAGGGACATTCCTACATCCCATCCTCCAGCATCTTGGAAGTAAGAACAGTAATGGAGGTAGCAGCAGAAACGCACGACAAAACCAACAGCTGGTCCACATTGCTTCACAGAAAGCAGGAGCTTTTTTCCAGTACTGGGATGGAACCCACGGTGCTCTATCACTGAGCTACACCCCGGCCCCTTTCTTTTTATTGCTTCATTTTTTTTTTTTAATTTAAGACAGGATCTTCCTAAGTCGGCCAACTGGGACTCAAACTTCCGATCCTCCTGCCTCAGCTTCCCTGGGCTGGGCTGGGGGCTGTTCTGAGCCTTGGTCACTGATAGGGCCCTAGGCAGGTTTTTAATGTGGCAAAGGCTTAAGAACCTCTAGGTCATAGATTTAAAAACCCATCCCAGTGAGCACCCTGCGCTCATTCCAGCACCTGAAGAGAGGGGGCGCTGTGGGGATCCACGATGGTCCCCTTCCCATTCCCGCCAAGCCCTGATTAGCCCCCCAGAGCTGAGCCCTCAGGCCCGTGAGCTTCTGTAGAGAGGCCACTGCTGAGCCTTGAGCAAGGCTGTCCACCGTGGGCACACCTCCTTGTGCCACACTGCCTCCATCTACACAGAGCTGGCCGCTGAAGTGTGCCAGCCCACAGCCAGGCTTGTTGCTAAGCAGCTGTCTTTCATGACAGCGGAGAGCTCCCACCCCACAGGTCAGTGGTCAGTGGCTTAGGCCACAGAACAAGATGGGATTCTGGGATGGGGGGGCCATACCTGGGGTCTCCCTGATACCGCATGTGCCCAGACCAGCTGGACCACGACTGTGCCCGGGGCAACTTCCACACCTCAGGCAGACTCCTGGGCCATGCAGGCCACCCAGTCACCATCCCAGGGTGGAGCCCCTGGACCCGGCTTCCTGTGCACTACCTGAGAAGAACTTCTTTTGCTTGTTTCACTTCTGAGCTTTTACAAATATTTATCTAAAAGGCTGGGGATGCAGCTCAGCAGTAGTATTTGTCTAGCTCTACCTTCGCTCCCTGGTACCACCAAAAGTGAAATGCGTCTGAGAAGAACTGAAAAACATAAAGTAAACTAAAAATATATAAATACACAGCAGGCCCACTTATCTGTTTCCTTTTCAGCAGTCAACCATGGTTAAACTAAGGCCTGAAAATATTAAATGGAAACTTCCATAAATAAATGACTCATGCATTTTATTACACAAGGTTTTACATCAAGAAATATTATAACCCAAGCACTCTGGGAGGCTGAAGCAGGCGGGTCACACATCCCAGCCCAGCCTGGGCAGCTGAGCGGCTCCGCGAGACTCTGCCTCAAAATAGACAAGGCCTAGGGCTATAGCTGGGGCCAAAGGCCAGGTCTGATACCCAGCACTATAAAATGCGTGTATACTAAGTTATACTATACCTGCCCTGTAACTTACTATAGCACATTGCCACAACTGCTCTGTTCTTAGTTACTGACATCACCCATACAGCGATAATCTATAAACTCAGCTTTATTATAGGTGTGTGTCTGTGAGCTACCTGCCCTTTCAGGCATTCGACTATGGCTCCATGGGTAAGGGTTCACCCCCGCCTCCCCCGTTACACACACACAGTCACCCTTCTCACACGCATCCACACTCGAGCTGCCGCTCGTTCTGCCCACAGCGCAGTCCCCAGGGCCTCTGCACAGGGCCTCGTGGGGGCCCTGCCTCTCACCTCCCCATCAAGCAGCTCGATCTCGCCTCCTTCCACCAGGACCGTGACGCGCTTCCTGCATTCCGTGGAGGGGTAGCTGCAGCCCTCGTTCCCCACCAGGATCCGGAAGGTCCCGGGGTTCCCGCCACAGTGGTCCTGGGGAGAGAAGCGTCACCTGCCACCCTCCCTCCCTCACCAGAGACACGCCTGTCCTGACCTGGGGACGCCCATAGTGTGCACCGTAATTGTGCGCCAGCCGAACTCTTGGTGCCCTACCCAGCCAGCGGCAGCTCTAGCATCCCTGAGCCTCCTGAGCGTGACCAGAGCGGCCAGGACACGGCCAGCCGGCCAGAGCACCACCACACAGCGGTGCAGAGGTAGGAAAGGCGGCCCACGGTAAAGGCTTGGACAGTTCAGCAAAAGGAGACGTGCTCCCGGCAAGAAGCTCCCCGTGGTGGCCACTGCTACGCCAACAGAGAGACCATCAGGCAGAACCCTAGATGACTCCTGGTGACGTGAAGAAACCGCTTCCCTCTCGCACACCCAGGCACGCACATACACACACATGTGCACATACATGGCCAGCGCTTATGTCTAGTGTCCCCCAAGCCTCATGTGCTCAGAGGTGGGGCTCTGAGGAGGGGACGGGATCACAGCGGGTGATGTCGGGGTGAAGCCTGGTGGGCGAGGGCCGGTCACCGGCGTGGCCTGGGAGGGTGCACACATCCCTCTCCCTCTTTATCCCTCTCTGCTTCCTGCCAGAGCTGTTTCTCCTCTGCCGGCCAACTATAGACTGAACCTCTACAAACTATAAGCCTAATAAACCTCTCTTCCTTTAACTGTGGATGTCCAGGATGTTGTCCCCACAACAAGGCTGTAACTAAGACAGCCTTCACATCACAGATACATGTAGTACATCAAACATGTCTACTCACACACATCCACACACACGCCCTATGCCTACACTATACACACAGCCATATGTGCATGCTTACACACACACACGCACACACACACACACACACGATCTGCCCCACTTTACCATGGGGATCGTCACCCCAAGAGCTTACTCAGGTAAGGGGGCCTGTGTAAGCCAGTGGGCTGTGGGGAACACAGGAATAAGGGGCGGGTGCTTTCCTTGTTCCGGTCCCAGAGGACACCCGCAAAGCAAGGGCTTGGAAGGGCCGGGACAAAGCACCAGCAGAAGGACCAGCCGTGGGGAAGGACATCCAGTGACCCACAAAGGCCACAGTTTGATTGAGGACTCGTGGAAGCGGCCGTGGGGGAAGTGTCACCAGGCAGGGAAGAGCAAGGGAGCCGCTGAGCACAGGAGGCCCCTGCCTGAAAACCTTGCTTGCAGCCTCAGGTCTGAAGCCAGTTTGGTGGCTGTGTCTCTGGCTGAGGCAGAGGCAGCTGGTCACGGAAAGCTGCTCCGTGCACAACCCAGGAACGCTTTCTGGAGCCTACACTGCCAGCCCGCTGATGCCCACAGAGCCGTCTCCAGGTTTTCCCAACTCCCTCCAGCTCCTGCCTCCGCAGGCTGGGTGTGGGTGTGGGGGTCCCCCAGTTCCCGCCCTGGGCCCAGGCTCCTCCAGACTGTGGCCCTCCCTTCACCCCACAAAAGCTCTCCTGTCCTGCCTCCTGGCCGAGGCTGGGGCTACCAAGAGGAAGGGGTGCACTCCGGTGCTGCTGGGGGCCAAAAGCCTCATACCCAGCACAAGCCTCTGTCCCCTTCTTAGAAGTCTCCACGTGGACCACAGGGTATGACAGCCACATTCCCTCCTACCTCCTCCAACCTCCTACCTTCTCCCGGGCCAGAAAACTACACAGTGAAACCAGACCCAGAGTTCTTCCCACGGCAGAACCCAACCTGAAAGCCCACAAGCACGGTCAGCAGCTCTGTGCCCCCGGGACAGGCTCAGCCCAGGCACCCTGCTCACCTGCGCCAGGACGTACTGGCACTCCCCGGGGAACAGGTACTTGAGCCCGTCAAAGGTGAGGTAGTGGGCCATGCCCAGAGTGGAGCATGTGGCGTCACACACATGGTCTGTGCAGTTCCACTTCCGGTCCCTGCAGACACTAAGAGAGCAAGTGAGGAGGGCTGGTCAGGGCCGGGAGGGGTCCAGAACCTTCCAAGGTGCCACCAGGCCTCCGGATGCCTCAGGAACCCAGCAGGAGAGGAAAGCCATGCTGCTGCTCTCCAGTTCTAAGGAGGAAACTAAGGCAAAGAAGGAAGGGGTTGTCCAGGGTGACTGGCAGCTAAGGAGAGGCCTAGGCCCTCCCTCTGCCACCTGCTGTGGATTGGCCAGGACCCAGTCTCACCCTAGAAACCCCAAGTCTGCCTGGGAGTGGGAAGAGGGCTCTGTGAGACCAGTATGAATCTCTCTGGGGTAACACAGAAAATAGGACAGAAGAGCGGCAAAGTTCTGAGTCTGGAAAACAGTAATGAGCCGCAAACTTATGCCCAGAGGGTTTATGTGCACACAGCCATGTGTTTAAATCTACAGTGATTTGCTGGTGGCCACCTGGCCCCGCTCCCCACCACACTGGCACCAGAGCTGACCTCGGTGGCCACTCATGCATCAGCGGCGGGGAGCGCAAGCCCTGGGGGGCCCGGCCCCATCCACGCGGCCTCTCCCAGCGGTCACAAGAGGGGATGAGAGGCCTTTGCCACGTCCCTCATGCCGTGCTGGGTATGCAGAGCACCCTAAAGGGGGGTCCCTGACCCTGTCCCTGTGGCTTGGTCACAACGCAGAAACCAGGTCCTCTTGTTCCCTAAGGTCCATGACCCTGAACAGGAACCCTACGCAGGGTGTGACACAGGTGACACAGATGGAGAAACAGAGCCACGGAGGAGTGCAATGAGATGCAGGTGCCCTCCTCCTCCTCCTCCTCCTCCTCCTCCCCTGCCCAGCCAGCCCGGGCCTCACCAGGTGTTGCAGCCGATCTTCACCATTTCTCCAGGGGCAAACTCCCTGCCCTGGTGGAAGCAGGGACACCTCTCCAGGGCCACACATCTGTTTTCATGCCGGACCTGAGGGGAAAGAACCCAGAACCCCGAAGGCCCTGCTGAAGAGGCGTCTCCAGGGCCAGAGCCAAGCACCGGGAGCAGGACTGAGCTGGGGACAACCTCAGCCACTGATGCCAGAACGAGAGCCATGCCCAGCCAGGGCCTGGCAGGCAGGGCACTGTCTACACTGCCTCTGTTGTCCCATGCCCTGCCAGGCAGAGCGCTGGGACACGTGTGTAAAGACACTTCCAAAAGCCATGTCGGCCCCATGGAAGTGTACGAGTTCAGACCCGGCCACTGTGCACAAAGGAAATGGAGCACGGACCAGGCTGAGGGAGCATTATTTACCACCACTGAACAATGGGAATATTCAAGTGTTCGATGACCAGAAAAACGATTACATTGTCAAGGGATCCCAGGGCTGGCGCCTGTGAAGCTGTGAGGACGGCCACTGGAGGACGGCGTGGATGGAGGAATGCTTTTGCAGCTCACTTTCAAAACAGGGAAGAAAACTGTATGTACACATGATCCCGGTTTTATATAAATGTACACACATCCCCCCCACAAAAAAAAAGACTAGAAGGAAATAGAGGAGCTGCCTGCAGGTAGTTGGCACCCCTCATCCGCAGGGCCGGTTGAGAGGAGCTAAGATCCACTGACCCGAGCCTAGAGGTGGCTTCTGCCTCAGCTCCAGCAGCCACATAGAGCCTGCTCCCTCTGGCTGAGTGTGGGTGCTGGACAAGTCGCCCTGTCAGAGTCTGTCACTATTCAGGGTTGCTTCCTGATCCCCAGGTTTCTTCAGCTCAGACAAAGGTCTGAGGCCTGCCACCTAGTGGCTGCTATGAGAAGGACCAGCGCTCCTGCAGGTGGTGGACGGGTTATGGTACCAGAAGCACTGCCGGAGACCGAGGGACATCGCATGCAGTGACACTGTGCCCGGCCCACCTCGCCCAGCCCAGTGGGCATGTGCAGTCCTCTCCCCTGCAAGTGGGGGGATCAGCAAGCTGCAGCCTCTGCCCCTCTCAGAAAGTCTCATGCACCATGCGGGTCCGAAGAAGCCCAGCCTCCTCCCAACAACACAAATTCAAATCCCAGCTGGGCCAGAAGAGGATGCCACACCCCACACCGCCCCAGCCCAAGTCATGAGGTAAAGGTGATCCTGGCCAATAGGCTGCAGTGTTAAGACTGGAATTAAATGTGCACTAGGTTTAGACCCATAATTAGAGCCGGTGAGGAGGGGGCCATAGCCTTAAGGACAGAAAGGAGACGCTACCTGCCTCGCACAGGACAATCAGTAACAAGATTGCCCATGTGCTAGAGGGACTCTGGGACCTGGGGGACAGGACCCAGGGGAGAACAGGCCAGAACCAGCCAGACTCCTAGACCAGCCACTGAGATCTTGAGTTTACAGTGAAGCCATCTCCACCCTGGGGCGGTTCCTCTGGGACCCCAGAGAGCCACTAAGAGAAAAATTCACAGACACCCTTTGGAGATTCACAAGAAAACATCAGAAACACTCGCTCACTAGCCATCAACCCAGGGTTTTCTGAGGAAGGGAGGCTGTGACTGGACACACGCTGCCGGGTCTGGTCAGCCCCTGGAAGAAGCAGGAAGAGACAAACTGACTTTGTTGCCCTTCTCTGTAATGGCCCATCCCCACCCCATATGTGAGCACCAGGCTCCAGTTCGGTTCTCTCTGTGGTGTTTGTTTCTTTGTTTTTCTGGCCTGGTGGTTCTCCTTCCTCCAAACCTCCAGCATTGTCTAGGTTCAATGTCTAGAACCGCCCAAAACAAACAAAAAAGCCTCAAAACTGTAAATCCTCAAAGAAGATCAACCACACTCTAGGGTAAGGCATCTAGATAATCAGAGTTTTTAAATTATATCTCACAGGCCAGGGCTTTAGCTCAGTGGTGCTGTGCCTGCCTCGCAAGCACAAAGTCCAGAGTTCAATCCCTGATAGCAAATAAAGTAAAATTATGTCTCATAAAAAAACTGTCTCATAAGATTGTGAATACCCACAGGTAAGGCCACCTGGGGAGCCCTGGGCCCGGCTCAATGGAAACCACTACCAGAGTGCAGGTGGGCACCCCGGCCGCGCCACGTGCACCCAGAAGCCTGCTTGACCAGCCCGTGGCTGCCCCAGGCAGAGGAGACCAGAGAGGGCTGAAGGGTGGCTGGTCTGGCAGCCAGGAGTCCGGTCCTGAGCTTCCTGGAAAGACTAGCCCCGGGGTGGCGGGGTTGTGCTTTGCTGCCACCTAGTGGTGAGATTTGGTAATGTTCTAATTTAAAGGCATCTCTGTTTTAGGTCAGAATTTTTTAACTAAAGAAAGTGACTTTGAGATGTAGGTCTTGTAGCGCCAGCCCCTCTTTTTATTGACCCAACAGGTCGCCTAACATGAATTCTGGGGAATGAAAACTTACTCCCCGTGTTCAGTGGCTAATTTCCTCTAGCATCTCTTCCTAATACGATTGGCAGTTTCCCCTCTGGGCACTTCTGGTGACAGTGGACACCTTCCACGTGTCCAGTGTGCTGTCATCTCCAATCTTCCCGACCCTTCTGGTCCGACTTGACAGGTGTGAAAACTGAGACACAGACAGCTGAAGCGACTCGCCGTTCCCACGCAGTGTCGTTCCCCGTGGCACCTCTCTGGCCTCTCCACAGTGCTGCCACGGACCAGAAGCACCCTGTCCCCATCCCCTGTGCCCGGCAAGGAGGCCTGGGCATCACTGGCAGGAGCTGGCAGGACACAGTTTGCAGGGTGGACCAGAAAAGCTTCACTCTACACAGGTGCCAGGCGGGACAAATCAGAAAGGTTCTCCTCCTCCCTCCAGGATTTTGAAGCAGATGTTCTGGGCCTTGGATGAGGAAAGGCCGTCACGGCCCAGGCCACTACTGCTCAGAGGGGGTCCCTGGGCCGGGCCGCCCTGGGCAATGCAAGAGCTGACAGGCAGGTGTGGCAATCTGGCAGAGTGAGGTCTCGTCTTAGAAATTGATAAAAACTGGAAAGGGTTCACATGCTGTGTGTCGTATCTTCCATTTTACTTTTCTGATAATCCGCTGTGCTGTATGTGCAAAAGCACTGTACCACAGTGGAAATTTAAGCAAAATGGGCCCTTCTTGGATCCCTGCTGTGGACAGCAGCAGGAGATGGTCCCTGCAGGCTCTTTGGGCCCGAGCCAGTGTGCCTGGTTGGAGTTGAGGTAGCTGAGCTTCAGATAAAGAATCAAAGCTTGAAAGGAGCAGGAGCCAGCAGCGGTCGAACATACCCCAGAGCGGGCCACCAGCCCTGTCCTCCCTGGTGTCTCGGTGCTCTCCAGAGAGCTGCCCAGGAGAAAGCAACTTCTCTCCCATTTGCCAGTTCTCTCAACACAGATCCCTGTCCCTCCCCAAACCCTTGGTGGCAACGCCACACCCTGCCACCTCAGAGGGAGCCAGAGAAGCTGCGGGTGTAAGTCTGTGCCATCCTACAGGCCCCAAAAGAGTGCTTCCGGAGCCACTTTCTCTGTGTTCCAGCCAGAATCAGCACACTGTGCACACTTGATAAATCACTGAACTTCTCTGCTCTGCCAGTCTGGCCTCAGCAATCTGCACACAAGTCGGCATCTTGGTGAAGCAGTTGTGAAAATAGCCCGCGCTCTTGCAGCCTGAGATTTCCTGTTGCGATCCCCTGCAATGGAGGTGAAAGCCCCTCACTGGGACAGTTCTGCCCCTAGAATGCAGGCCAGGGCTGCCGGGTGCCAAAGCAGTGCTTCACCTCACATCCACACCCTGGGCCTGAGGTCTTGCTGCCCACTCAGGATTTGAGGTCATAATGCAATCACTGTGGTTAACACTCAAAACTGTCTGGATTGATTTCTCCAGGACAGAAAGAACCCATTGGAAGTGTTCCTGGCACTGACGCAGTTCCCAGTGAGAAGTCCTTTTCCTTGTGTGCATCTTCTGCCGCTGGGAGTCGATACCCCAGGTATGAAGAAGGAACAAGGGTCTGTGTCCCCTTGAAACTCCAAGACACTCTCAATAACAGCCCCAGGGACAAGAGAACAAACAGGATCCTCCCCTGCCCTGCCCATTTCTGCCCCACGCAGGTCTGAGTTCCCCTCATGAACACCACCTTCTGCAGAGGCAAGAACTGTACCCCTCAGGTCAGGGTGCTCATGGCCAACCCAGCTCCCCATTCGAAAGGACAGTTCCAGAACCTCCACACTGAAGCAGGATGCCCCAGGGAGGTGAGGAAGGCTCGTACCTGTGCTTGGAGAGAAATAATAAATAGAATCTGCCCTGCACCTGCCCCGGCCCAACCTCCCAAGGGGCCTGCCTAGTCCCCTCTACACAACCTCGCAGCTCCCGGCCCTCAGGCAGGGTCTTTGGTGTCCTGAGCTCCCCCACAGCCAGATGAGAGCTGCCCTCCCCTCCCATCAGGGCTCTGATACCCTGACCCTTGTCGCTCACTTTGGGTATCAGGGATTAGAATCAAGGAAATCGAGATGAGACAAACTTGCAAGAATAAAGCCTAGAAGCTGCATTCTCCAGGGGAATAATAATATCTGTGTCATGTCTCACAGGAAACCGGCCTGGGAGGTACGAGGAGGCTGAGGCGGGTGGGCAAGCCCGAGCCATGGCCAGCAGCAGCGATTCCAAGAGAAGCATGCAGGACAGTGCCATTGCAAACCCTTGGCAATGCAGCCACGGGCTGGGCCTGCAGGGCCCAGGGGAAAGGAAAAGCAGGATGAAACTCAGCAGCGCTGCTTGGTTTTCTGTCTCCTCCATCACCGTATAGCACTGGTCACTCTGCTCAGGTCTGCACGGAGGCCTGTGGACCCTCGTGGGGCGTCTGCGCTGCAAGCTGTGTTGGCCCCAGCTTTGCGCCCATTCCAGGCTGAGGACACCAAGGTCAGAGTGAGCACATCTTCAGGTGTGCAGGGTTGTCCGCGTGCCAGCGTTCACGGCATCTGGTTCCAGCCCCGGGGAAGGCACGCCTAGAGGACCCCTAAACCCATGATCCCCTCAGGCCCCAGGGAAAGCAGGGCCTCCAAGACACCCATGATGGGCTCACCTCCCCCGAGCAGAAGCAAGGCCACCACCTGGTAAGAGAGAGCAATCCTTGCATGGGAACCACATGGCCCCTTGAGTCATGAAGAATCCTGGGGGCTCCCGGGACTGAGCTGGGCACCCAGCCCTGCCCATCAGTGTCCGTGAAGCTGCCCTCTCTCTGCATCAGCCTGTCTGAGCCTCTTCAGCTGGCTGTGCAGCTCCCTGCTCTAAGACACTCAGTGCCCTGTGCTTCCCTCCGACGCACGGGTCCTGCCCCAGCCCAGCCTCCTAAGTGAGGACCCCATCTTCTCTCGAGGAGACCTCCCTGGACCCTGTCGGGTGACACGACCTCCATGCACATTTGCAGTCCCAGCCCCAAAACAAGACCTACAGGGCTGGCCAAGACCCCACCACGCACTGACAGAGAAGGGAAGCAAGGCCCCACATGGGAGACTCTTACTAGCTCACAGTGGCATAGGAGAGACTTCAGTGTCTTCCCTTGAAATACAAAGTTATACACATGTATGCAAATCATATGCAAATATGTATGTGTGCTATCTTCACACCACGGAATCCAGCCCTTGGGAAGAGCCTGGTGGAAATGCCTGCTTTTACTTGAAAGTATTTTCTAGAAATACTCTCTGTGCTTCTCATGGCTCTCCTGGGAGCCAAGATCTTATATTTTTGTCAGCTCTCTTGAGGATGAACACTGGACATTTTCCTACCAGCTCCCTCCCTGGCTGTGGGGCCGGCCCACCCTCACTCTTTCTTCCTCTGCTGGTTCCACAGCTCCTGGAAGGGAAGGGAAGGGGAAGGGGCTGGGGGCTCACCATGCCCGGGGGGCAGAGGCAGCCGGAGACACAGCCGGTGCTCATGCACTCCAGATTGTAGTTCTGGCACGTCCTGGCACACTCCACGCCTTCCGCCCGTGGGTTGTCAGCAGGACACACAAACTTGACCATGGGAGGCCGACAGAACAGGCTCCTTTTGCCTGGGAGGTAGGAAAGCCAACGGGGTGATGCATGGGGGTGGGGGTCCCCCTCCCTGGGAGCGGTGCGTTCTGGCTCCACGGGGACCAGGGAGGCAGCCTCTTTGGCCCTGGGCTTCGTCCTGTGCACAGCAGCAGTGCTGACCCCCACGTCCATCCCATGGCTGAATTCCCACCCCGTGGCCCTGCTGCAGGCTGCGCTAAGCTGTGTGCCCTGCAGAAGCTGCTGGGTCAGCCTTTCAGAGACCTCGGTTCAGGCGCTGAGAGAAGAGCCTTGGCGGAACCCAACAAAAGCATCCCTAAAAGACTACAGCCTATGAAGAAGACAGGCCCCATCTAACACAGCTTGAATCTCCATCGCTTGTCGTCCACCCCACCCCACGCCACCGCTACAGAGCGGCTCCCTGAGGACTGAGGACGGGAGCTGCAGGTCCTCCTTCCCAGCGTTAGGCAGTCTCGAAATTGGCTGACAATGAGGAGAGTGACGGGCCTGCACCACACCCTTCGTTTTCTTTCTGGTGCATATAACAGCACTGATGTCACTCACCACCTCCTCTAGGCAAGAAAGCCAGAATTTCCAGCTCGTTTTATATGGAAATTCCAAAAAGATAAATGCTTTTCCCAATTTGCACAGGATTCCAGGGGATTCCTGGTTTAGCAAAGGGAAGACACCTCCCAGTTCCTGGGCTCAGAGGCTCTGCCTAGGGGCTCATCAAAGGCAAGGCTGAGAGGAAGAGCGCGACGGGGCAAGGGCTGGGGACATCGGAGAGCGAAGGACAGGGACAGAGGCCTCCAGGGCCTTGAGGTCACCATGCTGATCCCCCCTTCCGAGCCACCTTAGCCGGGGTCTTGCTAGCTCTGGAGCCACTCAGAGCTCAGCCATATGGGCAGAGAGGACCCTATCAAAAGGACAAAAGCAGAGGACACAAGCAGCCCACTATGTCCCTCCCACTGCGAGGCTCCTCTCTGAGCCAGGGAGACCCTTCCAGAGGAAGAGCAGCCCTGTGGGAGGAACAGGCTGATCCCGCTACGCCAAGGCCAGCCCACTCCTGGGCTCCTGTCGTTACAGCACAGCAACTATTAGGACCTTCCTCCCTGGAGAAATGGGCCCTGACCCTTCTTTCAAACCCATCTGAGAAGATTTCAAAGAGGTGTCCTTGTCCACATGTCCATGGGCCACGAGAGGCCACCGAAGAACAGGAACTGTCATCATGGTGACCACCTCACTCCTGCTGTCCCCGGGACTAAGGTCACCCAGAGCAAACAGAGGTCTCACTAAATCCACCTTGTGGATAAGTTGGTCTTTTCCTTTCCACAGAATAAAATCCCTCTTGCCTCAATAGCCTGGATTTACCATACAGAGACGTGCCTTGCCCCGAAAAGGCCCCACACAGACCCTGAATTGGGGCAGTCGTGGGAAAAGCCAGACCTGTCCCTGAATGCATGGGTGCTCCCTCCCCTGTGCCGAACAGGAGTCCGGAGGGAGGGGAGGGCAGTACTCACCGCGGTGAGACGGGGGGCTGCCCAGGCCCACATCCAGCAGACTCCTGGGGGCCCTGCTCGCAGTACAGCGCATGAAGCCATCCTCGCAGTAGCTGCAGAGGAGAACAGAGAGCCGCCCGGTGCTGTCCTATGTCCCTGCCTCCCACTCTGTCTCCCTCTGACCAGACTCCCAGACCCCTCAGTCGCCAAGGTTCAGCTTCCCAGGGCCACCGGTGGCCCCCATGTCATTACATCCTATTGAATCATTTTTCAACTCTTCCCTGCCTTTTAACGTTCACCACCACTGTTGACTACTCTGTTCTTTGGGAACATAGAAACCTTCCTTCCCATCTTCCTGCTACTTCTCTGGTCTTTCTCACCCCGCCCTGCCTGGCCTTCCAGGACCGGTGTCCCCAGGCTCCATCCTAGCAGAGGGACGGAGGTCACTTGTCTTCCCAGCAGCAGCTGGCCCTTTCCTCCAACCCCAGCCCAAGCTACAGACACCTCCAGAGCAGCTTCCTTTGGGGTCTCAAAGCGTCACAGCCCCGGTCCTCCACCGACACCGGGCTCTCCCAGAGCTGCTTCGTGGACTGCACCCCATCCGCCTGGTCTAACTCTGCATCGGGAACCCATTTTCCTCCCTGACACTGCCCTGTCTGCAGCCCCACTCTGCCACCTCCTTCCCAGGCAGTGCAGAGGAGTCCCAGCTTCCCGCACCTGTGCTCGGCCGCTCCGAAACGCTCCTCCTGGCAAGCTTGCGTCTTCACAAGATTTAACCCCGATGGGTCACCTCCCTGACTGAAACGCTCCACGGCTTTCCCCAACACTCTTCAGACAGAGATCGAATCTCCACCGATCTGCTGCCACGCTCCCTCTCCTTTCTCCCACTCCCAGCTGTCTCTGAGCCTTGGGGGAGCCCTGCTCCCTTTGACACGAGCTTTGAACACAAACTTTTGCACACTTCGCTCTTAACTAAGCCACAGCTGTGGCTTCTCCCAGGCCTTCTTGGCTCCGCCTCGAGCTGTCACTGTGCAGCTATTTTCTTCCTGAAACTGACCAGCCTGGTACCGGCTAACATCTGCCTCTCCCCAGACGGTAAGATCCACGAGGGTAGAAGCCACGGCTGCTCTTGTCCACCACTAAATCCCTAGCATCCAGCATAAAGCTCTGCATAAAGTTCTCGATATTCTTTTCCTTTTAGCTGTCACACAAGAATTGCACACCTTCCTGAGCTACTGTGCACGATTCGGACTCACACACACATATGTGTGCAGTGATCCAATCAGGGTGACGGCGGATCCACCACCTCAGACATCTCAGGTCTTGTTTGGGGCACTCAGAGTTCTCCCTTCTCACTATTTTAAATCACAGTCAGTGGTTGTTACCGACATCTGCTGCTCTACAGGACACTGGGACTTTCAGTGGAGCTGCCCCCACTGTGACCAGCCGCTGGAGATAGCACAGGCATGGCCGGAAGGACCTGGGGACCTGTGTGTACCCTCCTGCCACCTCTCCCTGGACATCACCAGCTCTGACTCCAGCCAGGCTCACCCTTCGGTGAGTGGCTCAAGGACATAAGTAAACAGCCACAGGCGTATGAGTGGCACTCTCTCCATGAGACCCAGGTTCCCAAGTGGAATGGAGAGGGAGGGTGGGCGATAGGATCCAGCCTGCTACGGAAGAGGACAGAGCCCTGCTCACCCAGGGGCTGCTGTGTGCCTCCTGCTACCTTCTCAGCTATGCAAAAACAGCTGGTAGCAGCTGCTGTCCCCAAGTCACCCCCTCTTCCTACAGACTGATTTCTTTCCTCTCTTGACAATGGGACCACCGTGACCCATGACCAAGGAGCTTGGTTGGCAGTCCGCTCTCACGGCAGAATGTGGAGCACACAACCCCCGCTTCTACTCGCTTGCTGCATGACTTGGGAAAGCGACTCTCTCCACCTCAAACTCTTTACTGACAAAGCAAGCTCTTTTCAGTAATATCCACCGGGTCCACATGAAGACCAACAGTGCTTCCTTCACCCCAATCTCCACAGGATGGCGCGTCCTCCTTCTGCCTTTTCTGCAGCACTGGCTCAGGAGATCCCTTTCCTCCTCTACTCTGGGAAATTCCTCAGTTCTGGATCTCCTCTCCTCTCCTGGTGGATCCCCCCTCTTTTGTGGGTGTGGCCTGCAATGGCTATGCCGTGCATAGACGGTGGCCCCAAAGGTTCATGTGCTACATGCTTGATCGCCAAAGAAACAGTGTAGCAAGGTGGCAGGACCTGAAGATCTGCAACCTAGTAAGGGCTCCAGGAAGCCATTAATGACTGTCACCAGGACTTAGGTCTCAGCAGACTGGATTCGTTTTCCAAAGCATGGGTAGTTTGAAAGAGCCTGCTACATGCTGGCTATCTTACACACCCTGCTCTCTCATACAGCTGCCCAGCCTCAGGCCTGCCAGCCTCTAGAACTGTGAGCCCAATAACCTCTTTTTCTCAGAGTGCACAGTCTCGGGTATTTTTAGAGCAACTGAAACCCGCCTCAGAGCTGTGGGCCTTAGGGCAGGGCTGCCACTCAAATGCTTCAGCCTGAGGATGCTGGAAGGAGGCTAATAGAGGCCCCTCGAAGGCTCCTACTTCCTGTTCTGGAAAGGGAAACTGAGGCCCAGAGCAGTGAGACGGGCCCAGAACATGACAGTTGGTAAGAATGGTCGAGAACTCTACTGCCAGGCTGGAGAGCTAGCTCCCCGCCCAGGAAGGAAATCAGAGGACCAGGGTGCCTTCGCAGCCATGCCCCCAACTCACTGTGCCAGTCTACACAGGCCACTGCCTTCCCAGCCTCAGTTTACCCATCCACAGAGTGAAGGACAGGGCCCCATCTGGCTCTGCCGCTCCAGTCCCTCGCGTGCTACCTACACTCACCACGTGGTGTGATGGTCCGAGAAGATGTCTGCAGGCTGGAAGATCTCGCCGTCGTAGTAGCAGGGGCACTGGGCCTTGGGCACACAGTCCCCCCTCTCATCCTGGAAGAGCCCCGGCGGGCAGAAGCAGCCCTCCAGGCAGACCTCGCTGCAGTCCTCATCAGGAAACGAGAGGGAGCGGCAGGTCAGGTTGCAGGGCGCCCCACACTGCAGGAACACCTGGCCCAGAGGGCAGCGCGGGGCTGGAGGGGAGAGGAGGCGTCAGTGGCAGCCTTGCCCGTGCGTCTGTGACCCCAGGGGTATCCGACAGACGCGACCTTCCTCTCCGGCCATCGGGCACACAAACCTACAAGTGCCCCTTCTTAAGGAGGTGTTGTAAGCACCTCCTCAGACTTCCCCAAGCCTAGGACTCAGCAGAAATCCCGGTGCCTCCGATGACTGACACAGCGAGACAATAACACTCCCTTTCTTAGCACCTACTGTGTGCCCTGCAAGCACAGAGGCTTATGCCGCACTCGGTGAGTCAGCTCTCATCGAATCCTTTCCATGGGTAAGAAAGGCAAAACATGAGCTGAGGGACTCGGCAGGTCTTGACTCTCGGAAAAGCAGGAGCGAGATTCAAACCCAGCTCTCTGTACCCCTAAAGATCAGGTTCTTAATTATTGTGGTCTAAAAAAGAAATGCTCTGATGGGCCAGACAACAGCTCAGCCCAGTGGAGTAATAACCATTTTTATCCATCTGCCCATCTATCTATCCATCTATGTACCTGTCTACCTGTAGATCTACCTGTCTGTCTATCTGCCCATCCATCTACCTGTCTGTCTGCCTGTCTATCTGCCCACCCATCCATCTGTCTGCCCACCTACCTACCTATCTACCTACCTACCTGTCTCCCTCCTGTCCATCATGGTGCTAGGGATCGTAGCAGGGGCTCCTGCTGGCACTGAACTCACCCCCAAGGCTCCCTGTGTCTGACTCAGTTTCACTGCCCCTCATAGGAAAGGGTCTTAAAACTTGTTCAAGCTGAACTTTTAAAATAACAGATAAAACTTCATGCACCTCCTCTCCCAAAGTGTGTACACTTCCAAATTTTCAATAAATGGAACAGTCTTGCCAAACTGTTTAAAGGAAATATTCCCCTTGAGAACGCAGGGTCCCGACTCCCAGCCCCTCCTTTCTTCCGCCTACACCTCCCTGTCCTTCCAGGGGAATCCACACAGGAGACAAAAGCCAAGAGGACAGGGACAGCGCTCTAGGGCAGCTATGGGGGAGGGGCCTGAGACTTTCTCTACAGGGAAATTGAGACAGGAATTGGGGGTGCAGATCCACTGCTGAGAAACCAGCTCAGGGCTCTTCCTGGGCTGGGAGAGTCCTGCTCTCTACTGGAATCTGCGTCTGCACCTCACAGGTGCTAGAGTTTAGCCCTGCAACCCTCCATTCCTGAGCCGCCCTAGACAAAGCATTGAGGGCGGCTGGGAAGGGAAGGGCTCTGGGCATAGGAGACACTGGCCTTCCTCAGAGTGCAGGGTCTGGGCCATCCCATCAGATGCATGGGGAAGACTGGCGTGTGGTCCCCACTAAAGAGCAGCTACAGCTGAAGGCTCTGATTCCCTGGTGCTGGCCTGAAGCCCTATTAAATTTTTCCCTCAATCTTGTCCACGGAACAGTTTAGCAAGCATTTATGATGTGTCCATCCCATGCCAGGGCCTGTGCAAGGTTCAGGCACACAGAGGGGCTAAGGCTTGGTCCTCAGCTTCTCTCCATTGTACAAGGCAGGAAGAATGCGTGCTCCTCCTGAACCCCCACCCCCACCCAGCACAGGCACAAAGTCAGCACAGAGCTACGCCTCTCCTCGGGTGTCCCCTGTCGGTGTGACCTCATCTTACAGAAGGACTCAGGCTTTGCTGAGCTCTGTCCATGTCTCAGGAGGGGAAAATGAGGTCTGGGTCCAGGAGACAGTGAGCCTGAGTGCCACTGGGGGTGGAGAAAGGAAAGAAGAATCCAAAAGTCCTGCCCCCATGCTTGGGCTCAGAAGAACAACCTAAAAACCACATAAAGCATGGAGACAGGGCTCTCTTGCCCTTAAACGTCTCCAGGGAAGCTTCCGTCCCATCAGCCGGGACTTTCTGCCACATCACAAAGCCTCTGCAGTTGGGAAATTCACTCCCAAGCTGCCCCAGCCCACTTCTGGATCTGCCCCATGGAGTTGAAGACCATCCAAGAGATCAGAGAAAGCCCCCTAGGCACCAGGCACTCTGGGACAATGCCCTGCACCAAAACCTGTGGGCGCTGCTGCATGGGGCAGAGAGTAACCCATTAGGGCGGTGGCAACCAAGGCCTGTCATAAAGAGCACTGACTCACTATCATTTTCCCAATTTCTCGACCACAGACCGTGGGGAAACGGAGTGCAGGAGGCTACAGTGCGGGGCTGGAAGCCACAGCCAGCTGCCCGCCAGGCCTTCGCTGGGGTTCCCAGTGGCCAACCTGCTCTGCCCAGGACATCCCAGGCTGGGGAGGCACCCAGCACTTGTCCTCTGTTGTCCCCACTTCTGTCTCTGCCCCTTTTCTTTAGGGAAAATCACTTAAACTCAGTGTTGAGCTGGCTCAGCCCACCCGAAATATTGACACCCCTAGAGTCCTCCCGCCTGAACCTCTCTTCAAAGTTATCAGTTCCTCCGCAGCCGCTCCCCACTCTTATCTTCCTGCTTCTGTGCAGGTCAGGTACATTTGAGTCTCCAACACTTTCCCCTAAAACTCAGAATATCCACCAGCTTCGCCCTCAGGAATGTCCACCTGTCTTTCAAGCCCAGCCCTCCTCTCCGACCAAATCTGTGCCGACAACGAACGGCCTTGAAGGGCACCAGCTCCCCAGCACCTCCGCGGCTGTCCTGTCCCTCTCTCCGGGACCCCAGCCCCTGCCCTGGAGGGAAGGTCCAGCTGCACACCCTCAGGCAGCCTGACCGCACTGGGCCTCGGCCAGCGTCCTCAGAGCCACAGCAGCAGCAAAGGAGCAGCACACTGGGGGCCAGCATGGGGAGCTACGGGAGCAGGTGGTGTGGAGCGGCCCTCCACTTTGCAGGACTCTAACTGGAGAGGCTGCAGCTCGAGCTGGGGTCCTGCTGCCTTGTCACGCAGCTGGGCGCCCCGCCTGCCTTAACACGTGCTGGACACGGGAGTGCACAGGTCTGGGAGCCACCGGAGCCCAGGAAGAGCCAGCTCCACAAGGCCAGGCTTCGCCGGGGGGAGACTGCAGCTGCCCCCACCCCCACTTGTCAAAATACCGCCAGGAACAGCAGGGGCAGGGCGGAGGGGCACGCACCACAGAAGCCGGGCTCGCGCCAGCC